GTTCGTTCCGACTGTTTATAGAATGGTGTTACTTTGCTAGATCAAATCTAGTTCTGCTGTAGAACACATTGGACAGTAAGTAATCTGCACATTAAATAGGTTCGTTCCGACTGTTTATAGAATGGTGTTACTTTGCTAGATCAAATCTAGTTCTGCTGTAGAACACATTGGACAGTAAGTAATCTGCACATTGAATATACACTTAATTTCCACAGTCACTTTAAACACACGCTATAATTCACAATGATTCACGCACTTACTTACAGTCACTACCGCGCTTGACTCAATTGTCCGTCTTTATCTCTGCCTGTCTGCAATTCAATTCCGATTAATTTGTCTCACGTTATCCGGCGCACTCATATATAGAAAAAGAGGGCGCCTAGCACATATTGGATTATTCGTGATGTTCCCCGATCCTTCTAAAATATCATGACGTGTTACCAGCGTCACGTGATTGCCGCTGTCGCAACAATACTATCGCAAAGGCGATCATCTAACATGAGAGCAGTGATGCCATGGGTTATGTTCATAGCATCTACATATTTAGTTTAGGGAAGATATCTGTAAAATTATACAGTACGATTTTGCTGCGGATATACTTATTACTAGAACGTAATATGAAAAGCCTCTCCGAATAGAACTATTCACACAGTAGAGTTGTTAAATGATGTAGAGCCAAAGATAAAATATTTTGGAGATAAAAATCATTATTGTTCTTCATAAAAGCAGATAACTCTCTTAGCAGAGTGTTTACGATAGCAAAAGGTTCCGTAATCACACATAAACTGAATCTGAGTAATGGTTTTATCCACAAAGTGAAAATTATGGTTACAAAAGCAAATCTTCAAATCCAAACAGCCATATCTTTGAAGCTAAGCATAGCTTATCGTATTGTTAACGAGATAATAAACAATATTTGAAATTTACAAAGACTTATATACTTCTACCAATGCTTCAAAATGAGCGGATGTTTATATTCGAAAGACAGCCGAAGATGTTGGAATTACAATATTCTCATTCGACCTCATACCTATCAGGCACAAAGTCAAAATCGCAGTTAACCCTAGTACATGTTTTGATAAGGCTAATATTAATTACAAATAATAACATTTGTTTTTTTTCCTCTGAAGGACACCTTATGCACATGCAACGAATAGGCTAAACGATTAGGTCAGAGACCCCTCTACTTAAGACACAGCCACTCTTGATTTTAAATTACAAATCGTGGTAAGTACAGTGCTCACTCTCTGAAGCAACTATTCGTAGCTGAATAACAAAATTGACTGTCATTTTTATAACGCACTCACAGCTAAAAATGTTAAGCATGTTTGGCAGTATGACGTCTTGAATCTAAGAAACTCGGATCTGGAGTCCGATAGGTAGAACATTTGGTCACGCTCGGGCTGTACAAATTTTAAAAATTTCATTAAAACAGATTTTGAGCAAAGATGACTCTTTGGTTCATTAGTAATCACGATAATTAAACTCATACTATTGAATAACTAGAAGTGTGCAATTTATGAATTAAACAAAGAAGAGTAATAATTTTCACATAATTGTCGTGGAAGGATACTACTCAGAAAGAGGTATTCCTTAAAACACGTACAGACTTTCGTGCTCCCTATGCCTGTCCTTCTGTGTATACATGTATATAGCCACTTTAGATAGGTAGAGGTAGAAGGGGGAAAATAACAGTAGTTGAGTAAGTTTTGCAGGAATGGGGTAAGCTCTCCCATGACACAGCGGAAAATCTGAAGGCTTATAACGCTAAAATCAGGGTTTCTACATCCGTGGTGGGCACAGGACAGATACTCTATTAGTGATGGGCACAGCACAGATAATCCATCTGCGTATCGCTGGATCGAATCCTCTCAGAAAAAAATTATTGTATTTTCAACTGTGAAGGCGTGTAGCGTAACCGGTGGATATTTTTGAATGCATTTCATTTATATAATGATTACGTTTATTTATGTGTATATTAAAAAATGTTATTATTTTTAACTGAAACAGATTCACAGATTTTCTGAAACCTTTGAAATCATGGAAACTAGAACAGTTTTGTGAATTTATCGTAAATACAAAAAAAGAAGAAAAAGGTGTTGTAAAAGGTGTTGCTCAGGCTCAAAATACTAATACGAGTTTGTTTTTCTCTATCAGAGGGTATTAAATTGTATAATCATGTCCAGTTTATGTATTCTGCAAGACTCAGTTTTTCTCTTCGGATTTCATATTTCAAACTGCTGCAAAATTAGCTACATGTAGACCACAAATAAAGATAACTTTAGAGTCCGACAAAACACTTCAAACAAATCAATACTTGTAATGCCTCAATAACCTGGTCGAAACAGAAATTATATTTTGTTTATCACTTGAGTAGTTATTGACATAGAGATGATTTGAGATTTCTATATATAATTTAAAACCAATATTAATTAAACAGCACTTGTAATGCTTCGAAGAAAAACCAATAGGGTTAACGACGCTGAGCCTTATACCCGTCGTAGATAAACTTTGAAGAATTAAATACTCTCTAATATGTTATTATTAATCCCCTCTTCTATGGTATTGTTATTATTCGAATTAGCTTTGGTTTTTCATTTTAATTAGCCTAATAATATAACACTGTTTCATAATATTATGAGAAATACATTAGTAAACGTGCTGTTTTTAGCATTGCCGCCAAAACAAATGCAGCAAGCGTGTATACATTATTATCACTATAACAAGCTTAGCCTAAGAAGTATTAAACAATTGGAGTGAACATTGTCAATCTCCATTGTTCTATATCACAGCTGGATTTAATCTAATAATGCTACATCCTTAAATATTACTATTAACATGAAACCCACTAAACTGAGGTTATCTAAAACTGTTGAAATTAAACTAGTAAATTTGCAGTATTCTGTAGCATTACTAGATTTAACACAATAAAGTAGCAGTATTCATTATTATCACCAGACTGAATTTACTAAAGCTTAATTTTTATAAGATTGTCGGAATGAATATAGACAGTTTGCAGTATTCAATTGCAGTACTGTAATCAACTCAGTCAATATGCATTTTTCTGTAGCTTTACTACATTAAACCTAGTGAAGCAACACTCTTCTATATTATTGCTAGAAAGAACCTACTAAAACAGTCGGAATGAATCTAGTTAATTAGTTTGTAGTTAAGCACAAAGCTACACAAAGGGATATCTGTGCTCTGCCCACCATGGGCATCAAAACTCGGTTTCTAGCAGTGTAAGTACGCAGACATACCATTGTGGGTCAGTTTTTACGGTTATAAGCTATTATTATACTTAACCTAATAAAGTTAAACTGTCATATTTTTTAACAGGATGAATTCAATAAAGATATCGTTCTGAAAACATTACTAGAATGAACACAGTAAAACCACAGTCCCGCAAGATTCGTAGAATAAACTTATTCAATTTTCAGTACCATAAATATTTCTGTATTTAATCTAGTAAAGCCACACCTTTCAATGGTATTGCTGAAATGAATATAATAATGAACATAACAATGCCATACTTCTACAAAACTGCTAGAATTAATCTGTTCAATCTGCTAATATGTACAGCGTTACTGAATTTGGATTAAATTTGGTAAAGTCAAACTGTTATATATTACTATTAGAATAAACCTACTAGATCTGCAGTTTTCTAAAACCGCTATAATGAATAAATCTGGTAAACTTACGTTGTCCTATATCATAAGTATACTTAGCGTAGTAAAGTCACGCTTTACATATGATAACTAGATTAAATCTACTAAAAATGTAGTTCTATAAAACAGTCGGAACGAACCTTACTTTTTGTGTTTGCTTGCTGTAGTTTCTCACGATTACTGTTTTGTGTTTTACTTGTTTAATTATCGTTATATTTAGCAATTGTACTTTGACAATGTCCAAAGACTTGTGTAAATTTATACTATAGTTATACCTATGCCATATACTATAACCTAAACACAGGCCTTACAAGAAATTCAACTAACCCTACATTAAATTGTACTGTTTTAAACATAAAATAACATATCTGTAATTCATATCTTACATTTGCTCTAAAAAATAACACTTCATTTTTAAAATGCTTGATAAATGCAAAAACTGTCCTCATGTGGTTACACAGTGCCATCATACATAGTGCTGCTCTCTATAAATAATTTTTAATAAATTTATTTTAGTAAAAGTAGCAGAAGTATCTAAAATATTTAACTTCATGCGAATAGTTGATTTAAGAAAATTAAATTTTTGATAGTAAGGCAAAAATGTATAAGTTCTGTTCATTACCCTTTGATAACTTTATTTGTTTTACATATTTATTTATGTTTCATTTAAGATTTAGATTTCTACTCATTATTAAATTATCCTTCAGTATTATTTCATCGTTTAACTGCATATTAACATAGAGTTTATAGTTTATTGTATTTTCTATTTGCATTCATTACCTAAAACGCTTTTGTTATTTTTATTAGTCATTGGATTATCTATCAAAATCATTTCATTCAGTCTATTTTTTATTAGTTGTTAAAAAGTTGGATATTCAAAATTAATATTGTAGTTATGTTAATAAACTCTTATGTCAGAGTTATTTCTATTGAATCTCAACCGAATTTAGATTATGAAATGGAAACCAGAGAATGCCACTCATAACCCAATTTTCACAAAACCTGATGCAAACCAAATGGTAGTTGCTAACGTTAAAATGCTGTATTGTCAAAATCAATAAGTGATCGTAGAAGGACTTGAATTTAATTATAAGGAGTAAATCACGGTTCATTAGAACGATTTGTATATGCTGCTACGTCTCTGTGTTCGTTTGTTAATTTCCCGGTATAAATTCTTCCTGAGGAACTTCAGAGATACAAGTCCTTTCTTAAGTAAAACTAGTTTATTCTTTCTCAATTCAACTTTGCAAGTCTTCATTTAAATTATACATTTTTTAATATGTTCGTATTACTGATTTGCATGTTGTTCAGTGTTGGAGAGTGCTGCTTGATGTGGAGGGTTTCTTTAATCAATAATTTCAGGTCAATATTAGACTTGCTGAGGATAGAAAAATGTGATAGTATGGGTTGATGTCCTGTTTCTTCACTATGTTGGCGTATAGAGGAAATGCAAAAAAAAAAAAAATTGATTAACCCTGTGTTCCCTTGTAGACCTAAAACGATAAATGGTATAATTTTAAACAATAAGGGTTATCTGTATTATGGATATCTTAGCTCCGAGGATTTGAAAACTCTGTCTGTCACAAAGTATTTTTACGGCAGCGGTAGTCACGTGACCCTGGTAACACATCATGATATTCTCGAAGGATCGGAGAACATCACGAATAATCCAGTATGTGCTAGGCGCCCTCTATTCCTGTATATAAGTGCGCCGGTTAACGTGAGATCAATCAAATGGAATTGAATTGCAGACAGAGATAGAGACGGACAATTGAGTCAAGCGCGTGAATCGTTCGTTGTGAAGTATAGCGTTGTTTGAGTTATAGCGTGGCTGTGGAAATTAAGTGTATTGAGAAAGAATAAACTAGTTTTATTTAAGAAAGGACTTGTATCGCTACAGTTTCTTCGGAAATAATTTTTACGGAAAATTAACAAACGAACACAGAGGCGTAACAATATGGTGAAATACTGCTGAAAATATTACTGATAATATTTCATAATCTGTGGCAAGTTTTATATGCTCTCAATGCGAGTTACACACATATAGCGCTTAAATTACATTAGGCTAACATAAACTAAAGTTAACAAAGATGTGCTTAATGATACACTAGTTTATTACTTGTAGCAACCTGCAGATTAGAACCAAGGTTACCTATCACGTCTATTACTTGTAGTAACCTGAAATTGGAGCCAATGTTACCTGTTATTTTTATTACTTGAAGTAACACCTGCAGATTAGAGCCAAGCTTACTTGTTATGTTTATTACAAGTAATAACCTACAGAATAGATTACTGTTATGCTAATTATTTGTAGTAACCTACAAATTAGAGCCTAGGTTGTCTGTTATGTTTATTTTTTTGCAGTAATATACAGACTAGATCCAAGCTTTCCCAGTAGATTAGAGCCAATGTTACCTGTTATGTTTATTACTCGAAGTAACACCTGCAGATTAGAGACAAGTTTTCCTGTTTTCTTACTATTTGTAGTAACGTACAGATTAGAAAGAAGTTTTCCTGTTTTCTTACTATTTGTAGTAACATACAGATTAGAGACAAGTTTCCTGTTTTCTTACTATTTATAGTAACATACAGATTAGAGACAAGTTTTCCTGTTTTCTTACTATTTATAGTAACATACAGATTAGAGGCAAGTTTTCCTGTTTTCTTACTATTTGTAGTAACATACAGCTTTGAGACAAGTTTTCCTGTTTTCTTACTATTTGTAGTAACATACAGATTAGAGACAAGTTTTCCTGTTTTCTTACATTTATAGTAACATATAGATTAGAGACAAGTTTTCCTGTTTCTTACTATTTATAGTAACATACAGATTAGAGACAAGTTTTCCTGTTTTTTTACTATTTATAGTAACATACAGATTAGAAGCAAGTTTTCCTGTTTTCTTACTATTTATAGTAACGTACAGATTAGAAACAAGTTTTCCTGTTTTCTTACTATTTGTAGTAACATACAGCTTTGAGACAAGTTTTCCTGTTTTCTTACTATTTGTAGTAACATACAGATTAGAGACAAGTT